AAAATATGATTATTGAATAGTGACATTAGTTAGTTGTATACAGGGTCTATTAATTAATTAAAATTTTAACAGTTTTACTGACAATAATGGCATTTTCTTGCAATATTGCTTGTTCTTTTTCAAAGGAGAGATAATAAAGCTTAAACTCGTATTTGCCAAACATTCAGTGTATTATTTAAACCGTAAGAATTGAAAGATTTATTTCCGTACAATGATCTGGCTCTGATCTAATGGACTGTTCAAATTCATTTAACAACGGTACAAAATATAATGTAGAATTGTCTCATAATAAAACTATAATAAGGTAGAATTTTTTGTTTGACAAGACAGAGAATTGACAACTCTCCCAACTGATTCTATGGTTCTATGGTTATATCATGGAATTACCTTTTATAATCAACATAATTCGTTATTTAACTTTTTTTTTTTTTTTTTTTTGTAAAATAGATAAATTAAAAATATTAAACTAATAAACTAAATTGAATTATGAACATATAAAAAATATATACATAATTGCATTAAAAATCGTAAATTTTAATATATCTTTTAATTTTGATTAGATAAAGTTTGGTTAGAAAATCTTTAATATCGAATGTCTTCTTTTCTAGATTAATTTACAATAGTCAAATAAATAAAAGAAAAATTTATAATATATCTACTAAACTTATTTATTACGAAAAAAAACCAAGACAACCATTAAATAACTTTTACTAGTGTGCAATGATTATTTTCATACAAACAGGAGTAGGTATGTAGTTGAATTTTTAGTTACTTGTTACTGTATTACTCTATATTCGTAAAAAATCATTACCTCCTACAGTTGTGAGACATAAGCATTAAGTAAATAATATATTTGGTTTTTTAAATATGTATGTTTATTTGTTTTTTACAAGCCAAAATAAACAAGAGCATTTTATCAATTTTAGCTTGTGGTAATTAGTTTAGTAAATATTTAAACAAGGGATTCATTTCTATACTTCTTTAATATTTATGTATTTATGAAAGAACAAAGAAACCGCTTTTATTAGTTTAGCGGTCGGTATGTTTGCAATATTTAAACAGCATTTAATTGTTTAAATAAATTATACAATTAAATATGTATTTCGGCACCTGTAGTATTAATTGAATAAAACTAAATATACTTATATTATTAGTTTAAAAACTAATACTCTTTAACGACAAAATTATAAGACAATTTCCAAAGATTTTGTGGTTTTTAAAACTCATTGGATGACCAAAGTTTCTAAGCTAAATAATTCTTAAAAAAAACTTATACTAAATATTTACAACCGCATCATTAGAAATACTTATACGCATTTGAAAAACTTATATGTACTCAGAAAAATACAACCCACAGTTTTTGCTAAACTAATATTCTGTTAATTTCAATTAAGGTCAATAGTTCAACTTTATGTTTAAAACAACAAAATTTTGTTAGTTTTTATATAAAAAATTTATCAATGTACGTGTGATGTGAATGTTATTATGCGTTTGTGTTGATATTTGTAACAAACAAAAATATTTGTCCAATATCCACTTTAAATAATACTAACTACCTTCTTAATTGAATTTCTATTGCATCTGGAAGTACTCCATTAAAACTGGTTAAAGAAATATTCTTTTCAAAACTAGACATTAGGAGCTTTAAATATCTGAAGTAATATAGAAAAAATAGCTGTTATGTACCCATAAAGAAATCTTTAAAATTTTGTTCGTATCGGTCCATAATATAGCATAGTTTCTATATAAAACTTCATAAAATACTTGTTCCATTTCCCCGTAAATGTAATGGAAACAAAAATAAAAAAAATACTCACCTTAAATAATTTTTTGAATGTGTTGTTTGATTGTAATTAGATTTTTTATTGATTCCACCGCCACATTTACTACCAACAGCAATATTACGTTGTGAAGACAATGATGATGTTGAAGCGGTAGCAGCAACAGCTGGCGTTGCCGTAGCAGCGCCACTACTTGACGATAAAATACTCGCCAATGAAGATGTACGTGACAAGGTGTTTGTTTGACTTTGGTGTGTTAACAAAGAAGACGAAGATGTTGTTGCTAATGCAGCAGCCGTCACCGGAGTTGTTGAGGTTGATGATGATGATGGAAAAAATAGTTTATTCAACAAGGCCATAATAGTGTGAATGGTAACGGTGGTAGTAAAATTGTTTGTAGTATTGGCTGGTTGATTGTTTTAATTGAAGTTGTCGTTTTGTGTTGTTGCTCTTTATGATATTTGCTTCAGTGTGTAAATTATTTTATTACTTTACGTTTTTTTAACAACTTTCTTTAAAAATTTGTTTAAACAGCGTCTTTAGTAACATCAACATATTTTCAACCGGTTTTTGTTTATATTTATTTATTTTTTAGAGTATTTTAGAGGAATGTTGTACAAATATTTGTCTAATAGAAGAAATAATTTTTAATTTTCACACAACACAAAAAAAGCACTGTTATTTTGTTTACATAAATAAGCACTTTAACCTTTATTTTTCATTTTTCCTTATTTCATTCTTTTTTTCTATCTTTCTTTCTTTTGCATCCATCCAACCAACTATTTATATATCTATCTCGCTTATTCTTCTTCTTTTTTAACCCATTATGAAATTTATTTCTTTGAATATTTGCAATTGATTTTTTTTATTCATACTAAATGTATGTATTGCATGTCTGAAAGTGCAATTTTTCTTTTTATTTAATAGCAAAGCAATTATTTGCAATTCTCTTTTTGCTCTATATTGATTATACTACTTTATAACACTTTTATATCTTTGATATTTTTCAAATAATTGTGGAACATTCTATGGTAGAGCTTCAAATAATGCAATTAATCAATTTGTTTTAGTTATAACTTTTAATTTTAGATTATGGTAGTAGGTAGCATTTATTTAATTATTTCTTTATTATAGAAAAATAAATTTTTAAATACACTTTAAACCGACGCAAAAAAACTGAACTTTGTCATGTCTTTGTTAATTGAAAACTTGGAGATCACTAAATATTATTTTGATGCATATAATTCACTCGAATAAAAAAGTATTCTTCTTGTGATTTTTTTGTTGTAGTGGTGTTCGCTTGCTCGTTTATTTCTTTGTTTAGTTGTTTTTTTTTTTTTGCCAAACGAAGATCGTACCAACAACAACCTCAATTTTAACCCCCCCCCAATGTTTTCAGTATATATGTACATACATATGTATATATGTATGTACATATACGTACTTTTGTACTTCTGTGTCAGTGACGTCGTGATAAAACGAATTTCTCACTCTCTTTAATTTTGCACCTTGTATTTAAGTGTTGCCTAGATAATTTTTTTTTAAAGCGCTGATATTTATTGTTTCTTATGATGTTCACTTTTTAATAAACATTAACACAAAACATTTTATAAAATTCAAAAAATATCAAATTCAAATTCAACACAAACCAACATCACCACCACAACTAAATTTGTAAAATATTTCCTTAATTACAATTTCTTTTTTTGTATAATTTCCAGCATAATTGACAGCACTAATTCGTATGAATATTCGAGAGCAAAAAGTACGAGAGAAATACACAAACGCGCCTTCCGGTAAACTAACTAAAAAGTGTACTCACAAGAAAAACAAAATTGTATTTTTCACAAATAAAGATACAAATAAAAATGTACATCTGGATTGCATTTAGTTATTTACCATATACATATGTATTTACATTCTTAGCTATGTAAACACTTCCTATTTTAACTCCCTTTTCACTAACAAAAATATGCATCTGTTACTTACATTTGTTGTTTTGTTATATTTTGTTTTTGTTTACAATAATGGTAGTGTATTTTCATATTAAATTTTAGCTTTTTGTTGCTGTTTTTGGTATATGTCACGTGTTTTTTTAATAAATCATTAAATCACTCACACCTCAAACATAATTTTTTGCTTATTTCCGTCTAAAAGTTGTTAGATTAATATTTCTCTTCAAGAACTTTTTTTGCACATTAAACTTTAATTTTCTTTTTTACAAGACCTACATTGAGTTTTAAGAATTTTTAATAATTTATAATTGTTTTCTTTTTACTTTTTAAGCTTGCCAACACCAAATAATCTAACAAAATATTTGCTTCCTTTAGCTTTTAGTAAAAAAACTGTAATAAACAAGCATATATTTTTGCAATTCGTCAAAATGCTAAAAAACAGAGTTGCTTTTGAGAGTGTTTATGTATACGAATATACGTATTAAAGAAAAACAATGAAAATCCAATTTGAATTGATAACAGTACTGTTTTCGTAACCGAAAACGAAATCAAAACGGTATAAAACATTTTTTCTCCACTTTTTAATAAATAAATATTTATATTCAATATAAAGATGAAAAGTAATATGATATAAAACATTTTTTTTCCAATTTATTGTCTTTAGACTGTCTTAATTATAACGAACGATTTGCCATCGAATTTTCTGTATTTCACATTAAACAAATACAAGCTCATTAACTACAAGACTGGCATAATCCAAAAAAAGATTCCAGAAAACGTCTTTTCTATATCATATAATATTTTTATTTCCGAATACCTTTTAAACAAATTATCCCATTTTAAACATGAAATCAAATAAATAAGCTATAGATTAATATGTTACTAATCTGAATTTAATCAAAATTTTTCTATACCAAATATATAAAAAATGGTAATTTTAGATATGACGTTTACAGAAAAAAATCACCTTAACATCGAAATAGCAAACTTTTTTGAAAATATAAAAATTATAAAAAATATGCCCATTTTTTGTAATACACAGTTCAAAAAACACAAATTTTGAATTATTTTAGTCTTGTAGTAAATGAGCGATATATCTTAACATTTAATATATAATAAATTGTTCTGCAAAAATATTTTATTAACGTTAACGATTTTTAAGTATAACAGTTAAACTCTTTGCAAATACAACTCTGTTTCGAACACAAATGAGACAACTATATTACAAAAGCATACAGAAAAAAAGTTGAAAGAATAATGCACGATTACCAACCTTTACGCAGCCATATTGCTTTTTTAGAAGTCTAAATCCATTGTCGTTTCGTATTTTCACACATTCAATTTTGAAGAAAATATATATTTAAAAGCATTTAAGTATTTAAAAAAATACTATCACAGAAAAACCAAAAAATATCCCAACTACTCAATAGCAAAAATAAAAAAGTCATTGAATAATCAGTTACAAAATTAAACTACAAATAAATCATTTCTCTTTGTGCATCAGAGTGAGTGTGGCCTTTAATATAATTTGATAAAGTAATTTGTGTGTGAAAAAATATCTAAAGTTCTCTAGAAATATAACATAATTTAAAGTGAGTGTTGAAAATATTTTGGGAATATTTCAAAAATTTGTGAAATTATGATATTGCGAAAAAAATAAAAATTATGTTACACATGAATTAAAAAATTCGTTGTCATATTAGAGATTTACGCCTTCCATTTTATATTTAATCATTTTTGACAAATGGCTGTGGCTGGCTTAAGTGTTTTTATTTCTTTTTTCATTCCTTTTTCACATTATTTTCTTTGCGTTTGTGTGGTTATTGTATCAAATGAAGAAGAAAATACATGCATTCCTTTGAAATCGTATTAAAATCAAAACAAAGAGAAAAAAATAATGTTAATTTTTAGAGAAAATGGAATAGACAGATGTTGAAAAAAGAGAACAAATATAATGCATTGTTTTGTTGTAAATAGACCTACCGATTTTTTTGTTCTTGTAAATTCATGGATTATACCTCTGTTCCTTATTTCGACAAAAGAAAATAAAAAAACAAAATGAAACCCCATAATGAGCATCCCTACCTCTAGCATAAGATGGTGGTTAAACTATATAGAAACTTAAACACCTGTCCTCATAGAAATGTGGGCAATAGTTTTTATGTATAAATATTTCTAGTAGTTTTGGAAAGTAAAATTAAATTCATAAACTCAATACAGTTCTTCTCATTTAGACTTAAACAACCAATAAGTAAAATTGGATTCATAAACTCAATACAGTTCTTCTCATTTAGACTTAAACAACAAATAACACTAACATGGCTTGTGCAACTTTGAAACGCACTCTTGATTGGGAAGCTTTAAATCAACGTCCCACCAAACGTCGGCGTTGTAATCCTTTTGGACAAGCAGGCGCTAATGGCTCACCATCACGTTCAGCTGGCCATGATGGCGTCTTACCTGGTTCATCGAATCCTCAATCACCCTCAACACGTTTCGCTCGCGAACCTCAACCCAGTCCGTTTGCTGAGGCCAATAATCTAACGAAAATGTCGCCGGACAAGATGTCACAGAACATACGCGAAGAAATCAAAAGATTGCACAGACGCAAACAGTTGCCTTTCACATCGGCCGCCATTGAACGTATGCAAGACTCCGAATCCAGTGGTTCAGAAATGGGACCAGATAGTCCCAGACGCCCAGACAGCCCACCAAGTATGGTCCGTCATCCAGAAAAGGCATTATTTACTTTTAAACAGGTGAGTTTATTTATTGTTTAGTTAGTGTTTTCCCAATGATATCTATTTTAAAATTGTTTTGGGTTGCAGGTGCAATTAATATGTGAACGTATGCTTAAGGAACGTGAAGACGAATTGCGCGAAAAATACGATGCTGTACTGACCACAAAACTTGCTGAACAATATGATGCTTTTGTTAAATTTACTTATGATCAGATTCAAAGACGTTATGAAGCTGCTCCCAGCTGTAAGTTACACATAAATATAAATTATTTATCATAAATTTTGAGCGCTGACCTTGAACAATCGTCTATTAAAGAAACGTTAAATTTCTGGTGTTTGAAAAAAAAAAAAAAAATTAGTTAAAAAATTGATTTTCACTAGAGAAAAATTCCCAGGTATTTCCTCAGCATTTTCTTAATAATGCAATTAATAGTTTAAGAAGAAATATAAAAATCTAAAGGTTTACTCAAAAGTTGGATGTTGGCACACAAAGGGGCTAAAAAAGTAAAAAAACTAACCCAGAAGCAAAATATCTCGAAGTAAAATTGAGATGCATGACACAACAAATTGTGTAAACAAAGTTGCTTTCGCCCTGTTATAACGTGTCAAAATGGCGAAAAAGCGGTGGTTTTTCGATTATCAGTGCAGTCGCTGGTTTATAAAAAGTGGAAATTTTTTCGAAACTAATTACTCCGTATTACGATTCAAAAAAATCTTTCGAAACACAATGTGTTTAACATACAAAATTGGACACTTGTTTTCGAATCGAGTTACTGAGTAACCCGCCAGGACTAAAAAATTGCTGAGAGCTGTTGTTATTGTAACTGAGAGTTTATTTCAGTTGATACAACTGTCGCAGACTAGATTGTCTCTTCATCAGGAAAATCAATTTATTTCGTTTTTATTAAAATTTAAATATTTTCAAAATATATCAACAAACAATTCTTTTTAATGAATTTTCCCTTTTTCTTAATTTCTATTTTCAGATCTATCGTAATTCGGACCTCAGGCATACAATAAGTTCGTAGACGCTAAGGATTTTTTAGTTTTCCAGTCTTCACTTTATCGCCCATTTTTTAATTAAATTAAATCTACGTTCATTTGTCATGCTGTTAATAAATTGTTTTTTATAATTTATCAATTATATTTAAATATTTTGGCAACAGAGTTTTTCGCTGCAAAAAGATGTTCCACACAACATTTTGCAAACAAAAAAAAAAAACAATAATTAAATACACAATTTAAATTATTTTTTTGTAAACAATTAAAAAATGACACCTCATTATACCTGCAGGTAAATCGTAAAAAACATATTTGCATACCAATAATTATTTTTTAATAAATATATTAAAATAAATAAAAAACAACAAAAATTACTATACTGCTACAATTTGAATGATTTATTATAAAAAAATAAAGAAATCTAATAATAAAAAAATTACAAAAATTATATATGAAACTACAAAAACTAATAATTTATATATAAAATAAAAATAGTGTATAATTTTAGTAATTAATTAAAAAAACATCAACTACAACAACAACTATATAATAAATATGTGGATAAAGATAAAAAGCATACTATTTATATATACACATACATATAAACAAAAAAACATACAAAATAAAAAATAACAGTAATTCTAAAATATATTGACAAATACAACAAACAAAACAAAAAAACCAACCACATGAAGTGCTGCTCTACTGTTAAAATTTGAAATGCAATTCATTAATAAGAACATAACAGAACAAAATTTCAAAATTTCATATTTTGACAGTAGTACTCTTATTCTCAATTTATATACAAAGCAAAAAATAAAACAAACATACATAAATAAACCTCAAGCCTCCACACAAAGTGAAATAATTCAATTGAAATTAATATAAATAAAAAATAAAACAAACCTAGTTTTATAGTTTAACTTATAAATAAAATAAAAAGCAAAAAAAAAAAATGAAAATATTGATAAATTCTTACATAAAAATGAATTAAACAAATTAAAATTGATTTATTCTTTTTTTTTTCAACTTAATTTTTAGTTTAAATATATATTTTTTTTAATTACAAACATAAAAAATGTTATTAAAATTAGTTTCATAGCTGTTTTTTTTAGCAAGAAAACTATAAATTTTAAGTAGTTTCAAAATTATTTTTTTAGTTTTCTATCTTAAAAAACAGAAAAAACATTATTATTTTATTATAAAAATAAACATTTATTTTTTCTACTTTATAATACTTTATGATTAGAGAAATGCCATTTTTATAACTAAATAAATAAAAATAAAAAACATGAACATTTGAAATAAAAAAAACCCACAATTAGAAGAGCATATTGTTGAAAGTCTTTATTTTTTCACATGTTTTTTGCATCGACTTTAATTTTACTAAGTTGTTTCCAATTTAGAAGCAAAACAGATTGCATGATTGGGACGTATATACATACATATACATTAGAGTGTCCCGAGGAACAGCATTTTTAAGAATTTTATGTACTGAACACCAGAAAAATAAAAAATATTTTTTTTTTTCGAACGGTCCTCAGTTCCCTACCAGCGATTGAAAATCCTGACCTTAGTATAATTTATAATTTATATTTATTTCAAAATAATCGAATAAAGTATTTTCGATTATTTTGAAATGGATCTCAAAAATTTCGTAATTTTGAGTAAATTAAGGGAAAAATTAATTTTTGTAGCGTATTTTTGGTCCATAAAATGATTTTGAGTTGATTGGAGAGGTATATTATTTTCGCTTTTCATCGAAATATGTGTCAAAATTGTCGTACTTTTTAGTTTAAACAGAGAATTATTTAGAAAAATAGTTTGGTATTTAGTTTGGTCCATTTTAGAATTTTTTAGATTATTTTGAAATTTATACCAGGACCAGGAAATTTTTTATGGAAATTTTGAGATCCATTCCGAAAAGATTGCAGAAAATATTTTTGAGCATATTGTACTGAGATCAAGAATTTCAATCGGTGGTAGGGAACTGAGGGCCTTTTCAAAAAATTAATTTTTATTTTTCTCGTATTTATTACATTAATACGCATCGTTTGAGAGGTATTCCTCCAAAAAAGTTGTCCACGGAACATCCTAATATACATATATTTTTCTCAAGTTTCATATACATATCTGTTGAAAACTAAATATTTATTTTCGGTTTCATGAAAATTTCCCAATATTGCATAATTTGATTTTGACCTTCCCAGTTTATGGATTATTTTATTATTATTTAATTTTACTAAAACTTTACGTATGTATGTACAATATGGTTCCTATTATTTGAAATTTTATAGTCTGAAATGTTTTTATATAAAATGCATAACAGTAAAAATTAAGCCTGTTTTCCAAAAATTTTAGGAAAAAAATACTTCTTTACGAAATCCTCAAAAACCCGCTAATCTTTGAAAGATTTTGACCTAAATTTTTTTACTATTTTAATACCTTATTTATTATTTCTGAATCACATGAAGATTTACGAAAAAAAAATAAAAATTTGCTTAACAAAGTATCTAAAGGTTTGAAATTACCTAATGAAAACTCATATTTAAGTAAATACGAATAAATTTAATATAATTACATGGTTTTATTAAAATATTTACCAAATATATCAAATTTTTTGCAACATTTCTCAAAAAAATTATTTTAGTACAAAAATTTTTGCAAAAATCATTTTGCCCTTCAGAGAGGCGGCACCAGTTTACGTAGTTCTATCGCCCTAAATTATGGAATTCATTATTTGGGACCCAAGTATATAGCCACACGGACAAAAAGATCAAAATGAGGAAAATTGGTGTGTGATACGACTTTTTAATTTCCATATTTGGAATCAGCACACCAACTAACACTGGGATTAGTGAAAATTATTTAAAAAGTTTTTTCATCGTTAGCCTGTGTAATTAGCTATTCAATACATATTTGAAAATTTACATTTCATAAAATTTATATGGGAATCATCGCTTTTATTTAGATATGGCCGTAAATGTAAAAATTTCTGTTAATTTACGCAATATTGCAGTAGTTTCTTTTCCTATTAAAAATATAATCTGTTTTTAGTTTAGAAAAAATCGCTATAATTTTGCAGAATATATAAGGTAGCTAAATTAGCAACACATTATTTTTCTTTTATTTATTTAATTTTTAATATCTTTATTCCAATAACCTAGCCTATATAGTATATATGCCATCGGTTATAAAGTTCTACTTATGAATATTTTACATAAAATAAAAATAAAATTAATTCGTTTAGTTTTTTGGAATTCGTCGACGACACTAAATTACAATTAATATATCTTGGTGGTGGCAGTTCGGCAAAAAGAAAATTTTCCATGTATTTTGTTTTTGCATTTGGTTCACGTAGATGACAATAACAGTAAGTACGGCGAATTCATTTCATGAAATTAAAAATTAATTTTATAAAATTTTTTATTGTCCGTTATAAACTTAATCGAATTTAGGCCGCCGCTGAATTTTATTTCATTATCATATATTTTCGTGTAGTTATCAGATATTTTCGTGTAGTTGTGTAGCTACCGCCGGTCGTAATTTCGATCGCCTTCGCCCTCTGAATTAAAGTGAAATTGAGATCTGCGTCGGTTCAGCTTAAACTCGACTAATTGCCGGCTCACACGGGAAAACTTTTTTGGGTGTGTGAGAAAAAGTGAAACATCAACCATTTCTTTCTCCCACACACAAAAGCAAAAGTTTCTTAAAAAAAGTTTCCCAGTAAACCGCCACTAAGCCTAGCCGCTGAAAAAATAAGACGTCTTGCTCGATCTAAATGCTAAAAAAATCTGATACAAAGCTACGGATAGCTTCCTTATAGTTTAATTTTAAAAAATGCTATGCTCTTTGGCATTTTTGTCTAATTTTGAGTGGCGGATTGATAAACATTTGTTCTAATTTTTTTCTGTTCGATTTAGCAATATCCGTATCTCGTCCGTATATTTTTACAAACAATTTTCTGAAGATCCTAGCTATCTACTGGATCCAAATCTCGATTTAACCTATGAGAACTGCTTTTTGAAAACTAGCAGAATACATAGGTTCACAAAGTCAAAGCCTCTATTTAAAATTCGAAGAAATACTGGATTGTTAAATTGTTTAACATATTTCAGACGGTACTTTTTGCAGAAGAAATATTTCGGAGACATTTAATATGAAATACCTTGTGACTAAAGAAAGGGGAATGTAATATGTGTTTAAGATTTACCTAAATATATGGAAACAAATATCAAAAATTATCTTACCCAGATTCGACGCAGCAGAATGGTGCTATTTTATATTAAGTTTTAAAAATCCCTATTTTTTAAATATTTCATTCCAAAATCCCACTTCTTAATCAACCGGATTCCATTTTTATTTCATAACGTTGGAAACTTTGCCGGCTTACAGGCGATTTAAAGCCGCCGCCGAAATGTTTAGTGTCAGTCGACAACGACTTATTTAATGTTTGTCGTCGCAGGTCTCTGTGAAGAAGTGGCTAAAAAGGCAATAAGAAGAAAATTTCTGTGCAATTATTTAAACATAATTTTTATAAGAATACATTGTGTTGCAATTAGCAAACCTTGTCTAAAGTTTTGAAAAACCAATTCACTGCCTTTGGAAAATACAATATCGAACGGAATAAACGAATTATTATTATTTTTTCCCTTTTTTAAGCTACACAAGTGGTACGGCGACGTCGACGTCAACGCAGTAAAAAATAAAAATCTAAAAATATTTCTTTTTTTCTAAACGAAAAAAGTATATTCTGCAAAAAGCAAAAAAAGAAAAAACTGTATTTTTTGCATACGCTTCTATACAAATTGAATTAAAAGAAAAATATTTAATTGAAAAAAAGTAAAGAAAGAAAAAAATAAATAGCCATGGTCTTGAAAGTGTACATTAGTGGCATGTCTGGCAATAAGGAGGTAAGTGTAATTCCATAAATTCTTAAATGAATGAATGATGATATTATGATGTGGGCGGGGCACATTAAATACCCAGCCTGTTTGTAACAATGGGATGTATGATGGATTTTTTTTGTTCATATGCTAATTGAAATGAACTGGTTCCGTTGTTTTTTTATTGTGCTTGTACTTATGTCTATTTGGGAGCCAGCAGCAAACAACAAGGGTTTGTTAAACATTTTTAACGAAATTTATACATAAAGAGTATGTACATATGTATGTAGATGGATAGCATGTATGTACTCAGATATATTATGTTCTTTCTACATCATGTATTAATATCTCATCGGTTTTTTATACCCCATATCACTATAGTAGGAATGGTATTATTCGTTTGTTTTAAGTTTTGTAACATGCAATTTAAAAAATGTCAATCGGATCGGAATCATTCTTAGAGTATAGTCTGCCATTTCTGTGTGTATGTCCATGTAAACATTGTAATCAATTTGATGGTTGAATATCTTAATTTTCAATTACAAATGGTTGGTACCTAATTAACCCATATACCTAATATTCTAAAAAAGGTATTTTCTATGTAAATAGTTTGCATACCTATAAATCCATTTCAGAAAACAACTTTAACTCCCATATGAATCCTATTTAATATCAGTGTAGGGCTTTTATAAAATCGAACATTTCCGGTGTAATTCCTTGTTTGTTTTTTTTACGGGGGAGCATGAGAACAAGAATTTATAAATGAGTCTTTTTTAGTTGTTTATTAAACAGACACACACTCACCAGCATACACAAATAGTCATCATAAAATTGTTGTTATTTTCTTGGCCGTTTATTTGGTATGGAGATTTCTATTAAAATGATATTTTATTTACTTCCTATAATTGTCAACCATCAAGTGTCATCACAAAACTGAAATAATTAAATATTTCAAGTTTGTTGCTTTTGTAATTGCTGAAGGCGTTTAATAACTAGAACAACAAATCAAACCAAATGGAACTTAATTTTGTAGCACAAAAGTTTGCTTTTCTAATAAAATCTATTTTATTTGAAAGTTTCGAGACTCTTCTTTTGACTTAAAAGAAGAACCTTGTTTAAGAACTGGTTTATTGTAATGTATTATTTTTTATTTATTTCCAATCACGCATACATATTTCTGGCTTTTAATGTACAAAAAAGATCCAAAACAAAGAATAGAAGAAAAAGTCGTTTATTGTTTAGTTTACAGTTTGTCCCAGAAGTCGAAATAGTAGAACAAATTTTGCATACAAAATAAGCGTTTAGCGTTTGTTTAGAATTAGCATTTTATGTTATTCTTTATTTTATATTTTTTGATAGAATCAATATTATTTGATCATATTTTATATAAATATTTATACCCTACACCACTAAAGAAGGTGGACGGACGTACGTAACACAATAACTTTTTATATAAAAAGTATAACTATTGACTTAGATTTTCTTTTTAAATAGATAAATCCATGTTCCTTTCATAACATAAACTTATTCATGTCCACATTTGGTATTTTTTAAATTATTGCTTCATGAGTTATACCGCTTATAAACATAGTCATATTGCTCATCTACTCCAAAAAGATCGTTTCGAGAAAAATTGCTTAGAATGTTTTAAACATGAGTTCAGGGCCCAAATTATGGCATACGATATCTATCGAAATCTCCATTTAGATTCTATTGAGATTTCGATCGATATCGTATGCCGTAATTTGGGCCCAGTTTTAACGTAAAAAACTAAAAATCGATCTCACAGCGAAAATAATAGGCATTTTTCAAAATAAGTACATATCGTCGTTGTTCCGACAAAAACAATTATGTGCACACAAGGTTTACATGGACACACAGACAGACAGACAGACGGACGGACGGACATAACTAAATCAACTGAAATTCTGAGCCGATTGGTATAGTTTAAGCTGGGTGTAGGACCAATATTTTGGGGTGTTACAAAAATGTACGCTAATTAGTTGACTATTACTGTATGTATATTCAAATAAAGTTTACATAATTCCTTTAGCTATTACTCATTCAATGTTATTGTATAAAAGTTGTATTATTAAAAACATCAATAATTGTTATTATCTCAAATCTAGTGTTTAGGAATGAATCATCCAAAGGTGTTGCCTTTATAATTATGGCCTTTGTAAAAAACAAAATATACATATAAATGAAATTGCAATTATAATTTGAGAGAAATATTTTTAGAAAATACAAAACAATTTTTGTTCTTCCAAATTGATGTAATTGAATGTTAAGATTGGAGTTTTTAATAAAAACATGAAAACATTCTTAACATATGGAATTTTTTTGTTATGAATCCATCTTTACATACATATGTATGTATTTTGCTATAACCCGATTTAAAAACTTCCTTTCCACAATAAGCGCCTACTATATGTTTGTATACATACATATATTGCATGTAATATACATTTTAACTTATATATCTTACGTGAGTTTCTTTTTTTTTGCCATTTGTGTTATCTTTTCATTAAACACTATTGTTGATTGCTTTTTGTTGTTCTTTGTTGTTTGTTTCTTGGGTGATATCATCAACACTGTTGGTGTTTTTGCGCCGATAAAACTTTACCGATATGAGTTCTTAATAAATAACAGTTCTAAATTCGGCTATGCCGAATCTTATATACCCTTCACCATATTATATTTTAACAACTTTTTTTTTAATTAAAAAACTTTTTTAACTGTTTGTTGGGATTTTGTTTTTAATTTAAAAAAATCAAAGGTCTTTAGATTAACATATTGATTAATAGACTTGGTTATTAACTAGTCTATGGACTATTCTATATATTTGATTATTGACTAATCTGTGCAAAAGGTTATAATTTAAAAAGTATTTTATGTAGTGGCGATACTATCAAAGATTCCTAAACAACATGACATTAATTTTCCATCCCAGCTATATGCATACTGTTCTAATGAATATCTGAAAAGTATGGCTTAAATTAATAGCAACCTTATTAACTAAATCGATTTTATTAATATTATATAATATAAAGACAGAGGAAACAAGAAATTAGTCTTATCTTTCAACTTTAAAATAATTATAAATAAATCAAGAATATTTCAATTTCTTTGTTAATTAATTTATTATATTACCAATGTTTTAGGTCAAAAAACGCCAACAACGTGTCCTTATGATTTTGGATAGTAAAAATATCAGTTACGAGGTTATTGACATTACAGAACCTGGTCGTGAAAGTGATAAGGAATTTATGCAGAATAAATCCACCAGCAATGGAGCAACAGTAAGTGATCCCGAGCCAAGACATGCCTTACCACCACAAATATTCAACGAAGAAGAATACTGTGGAGACTATGATGCCTTTGATTTAGCCAATGAAATTGATACATTGGAACAATTCCTTAAAGTGGCTCCACCCGTCGATAACACAGCCGAGGAAGTGAAGAGTGCGCAACAAGAAAACGGTGAGGCCAAGCCAGCCAATGGTGAAGAAGTCGGTGAAAATAAGGAGAATGAAGGCGAGCAATCGTCCGAAGATAAGGCTGCTAAGGATGGTGAAGAAAATGCAGAGGTTTGAAATGATTTACTTCTTTTTTGAGATGTTAACAAAGCAAAAAGAATTTGATATTTTTTTTGGTTAAACAATTGCAAAGCAAAAAAATTAAAAAAAAACTATGTAAAAACTTTTTAAACACTATTAACCGGAAGAGCTTAACATGCTTCCAGCAAAAACTCAATCACTCTTACACTAAAGCAAACATTTCCACTGACACTTTTTGTCTCTCTTATATTTTTTTGTTTATTATTTTTTTCTTGCTAAAATTGTTTCCTTTAGTGATTATTATTTATTTTTATTATTTAATAACTTAGTTTGCCCTATTTCCATTCCACTTGACTCAAATTTTTATTTATTATTTTATTTTTAATTTTTTTTATTTTAATTACACTTATTTTTTGCTAAAAACAACATTAAAACAACAATGCTAAACGTATTAAAACACTATACAACATACAACAATAACAATAATAATACATAAATAACTATGTAATATTTATTTAGACATCGTAAACGCTGCGATTATATATGAATGATAAAATGAACAACAATTAATAAAACAAATTTGTATTTTGAAAAATTAACACACACACTTATTACTTATTTATTATTAAGCGCATTAAGCATTTTGCATTTAGTTTAAAAAATAATCAAACAAATTAAGCTTTCAATATTTGTAAATAACCCAAATCAAACGAACCCAACAAACAGACCTGACAATAATAGTTTGTAACAATAAGCCTAAAGCTGCGAAAGATCTTTGAATTTTGAAAAATTTCGAAAAAAAAAGATGAATACCTACTAGTCTTAAGAATTTTTCAAGTTTTTGTGTACAGTATGGAACGTTAAGACATAAAAACTCAGTGAAAATCCTGCAAGATGACAACTTGTAAGTGCACGCGCTTTCTGTGTAATTGGATATAATGAGTACAAGGTCAATCAAACAAATCATCATCAGTCAACATCCAGAACAAAGCTGAATGTTAAAACAGTGTAACACAAACAATTGTGTAAATGAGTTTTACATTAATTTTACAACTAGGTACTGACTACTGGCATTTTGTCAACAAATGAATATGTATCTATCTGCTCTCTTTGTCTCTCTTTCTCTATTTCACTATCTGCTTGCTTCTTAATTGCATCTGCAATAAATTCAGACTACTAAACAGCTCGCCAAGCGCCCAACTTTACGCAAAGCTGCTGGCCAAGTCGTCTTAATAATGAAAGTTTCCATACAATTTTTAAAGAATGCCGAGAAAACTAAAGATTCTGAAGAGGACGCTGACGCTGCCAAGGATAATGAAAATTCCGAAGAGAAAAAAGATGATGAAGAGGGTAAAACTGAAACTGAAGAAGGTGACAAAGAAAAAGAAAATAAAGGTAAAGATTAGAAGGTGTAAAATGTAGTTATTCGATAGTTAGAATAATTAACGATTTTTTGTTGTTTATTTCAAACGAAAAGAAGAAGGAGATGTTGAAGGTGATGATAAGAAAACAGATGAAGAAAAAGAGGTAACGGACGAAAAAGAAATTGATGAAAAGGAGGTGGGTGGTCTCTAAAGAATTATTTTAAGCATGAAATTTTGTATTGCAGTTTGTGCATGGCTTGTTGTCAATATTTTATATTTAATTATTACCTCGAAATTAGCCGTTGTTTGATTCATTTTCCATGTTCTTTAAGTAATTTCAAGTCAAACTTTTACCTAAGAACTCTTTTGATATTTTACAAATTTCATAATAATGTACCTTAATTCTGTTATTTTGCTCAATTATCTGCTTTTGATCAGTATTCGCCAAAAAGTTTTCTATGAAAATTCGCAATTTTGAAATGTTAAATTTTTTATAACAAAAAAAATCAAAATTTTTATGGAAAATTTAAATTTTTATTTTCGATGAACACCGAATTTTCTATAAAAACCTACATTTTTAATGGAAAAATTAAAATTCGAACAATAATTTCTATAAAAATTTGAAATTGAACAAAAAATTCAAATAGTTTTTGAAGAAAAATAGATTTTTAATGAAATTTGTTATACATATTTCGAATTTTCTATAAAAATTAAAAATTTTCTATAAATTTCTGATATTTTTTATGAAAATTCGAGAAATAGAAAAATTTATTTTTTTTATGAAAATTCGAAATTCGATAAATTGAAAAGTTTATTTTTTATGAAATCAAAATTTTGGAAAATTTTCTAAAAAAATCTAAATTTTCTATGAACATCGTTTGTATGAAAAAGTATTTTTTAAGAACGCATGTTGTTATAAGTTCAAGAATGTTACATGTATGTCTTGCCAGATTTAATCGATCATTACCTTGTCTTCTTTAATTTACAATTACAGCACTTTTAAGTTGATTTTGAGAGAATATGTTATAGAAAGAATGCAATCAAAACTATTTCATATTCTTGAACAGGAAACTTGGAACTGTCAATGTCACCATACGTTAGCTTTTTATTTTGACTGTATAACTTTTCCACAGAACCAATTCGGAAGGTGACATTTTCAAGAAAAAATTAATTTCAATGCACGCGTTCTAGCATTATTTGTGGAACTGATATTATTAATCCAAAAATTGACTCATTTCTAGTTAGTTTACAGTTTTGAATAATTCGGTTTATATTTTATGTTGTTTCTCGATTTTGGGAAAACTTTGCACTTAGGGCCGTATCGCAAAATATATAGAAATGATCTCAATTTCAACTTAAAATGCTGTACTGTTTACATTATACTAAAAAAATATGTACAAAAATCATATTCACCTTCACGAACAGAAAACCGATGAAAATGAGAAGGAAGAAGACGATACTAATAATGAAACTAAAGACGAGGAATCCAAAGATAAGGATGATAAAACTAAAGAAGAGGGCGATGAAAAAGCGCCTGAGAAAGAGGATCAAGAGGAAAAAGTTGATGACGAGGAATCTAAGAATGATGAAACCGAAGCTAAGGATGAAGACGAGGGAAAAGAAGAAGAGAGAAAAGAAAAGGTGGATGAGGAAACTGCCAAATATGAAACTGAAGATGCACAAAATAAAAAGGAAGAGGAAAAGGAAAAGGACAATGAAGATGGTGAAAAAGAAAAAGAAGAAAATGATAATGATGAGGCTAAGAAGGAAGAAGATGAGACTGAAAAGGAAGCAGAATCTGTTGATGTAGCCGAAACGGAAAATAAAGAAGAAAATGATGATGAAGCAAAAACGGAAGAGGAAGAGAAAAATGATAAAACGGAAGAAAAAGAGGAAAAGGAAGCTAATAATGAAGAGAATCAAGGTGAAAAAACTGAAGAAAGTGATAATGTGGCTGAAGAATCCAAAGAAGAAAACAAAACAGAACAAACGAACGAAAACGATGAATCTAACAAAATCGAAGAAACCAAAACTACTGATAATACGGCTGAAGAAGAAAAACTTTCTGAAGATGCTAAAAACGAAAATGATAATAAAGAAAAAGAAGTTGAAACCGAAAAGAATTCAACGGAAAATAAAACTACGAGTGAAACCAAAACTGCAATTTCCGATGAGGAAGAAGAGGAATCTTCCGAAGAGGAGAAAGACGAATAAGAATAAATTAAATAAAATAATACAAAATCTTTAATAACGACTGATGACTGATTATAACAACAAACACCCCTCTCCCTCTTCTATTTTCATAACAACAAAATGTTTTAGGCAACACACACATCTATTCTCACAAACAACACACATCATTTTAATTTAAAAAAAGAACACTAAATACGGTTTCAAATGCACTTTTTATCCTCCTACTCGTAGAATAATTTGTAGAGAGTTTTAATTAATAATTTTCCCCTCCTACTTCTACTCATTGTCCTTGTAAATAAATTTTATTAAATAAAGGGTTTAAAGTTAAGGGTTTTAAATACGAAATGGTTTTACTGAACAATCAAAGGAAACCGATTTTGAAATGTTTTGCATCATGTTAATGAGTTGAAAAAGTTCTATAAATAAAATGACTAATGAGAAATTGAACTTTATGTGGAAAAATTCAATTGAATAATTTAATTTTATTTTAATAATATGATTACCGTTCCGCATTCCGTTGCGCTATGATCCTAAATAATTATTCCAACAAAAAATTTCAATGCCTTAAGTTTGTGTACATTACGATCGTTACTACGTTTTTGTAAGTCGTTGTTTCAGTGACGTAGCTTCGAAAGTTGCGAAACGGAGAAATTTCGATTCGAATTGAAATGCAGAATAGGGGTGAATACAATTAAAAAAAAAATCAAATTTTTATGAAAAATAGTAAATTTAGAAATAATATTTTTTTATAAAAAAAAAATAAAATTTTGTATTTTAAAAATACTATTTTTATAACAGAACTCTTTCGCCCACTATAAAATAAAACACAAATAAATCGCTTTCCTTGTGTCTTGTTTACGTTAATTTGAATATTATTTGTCTTCCTTCTCTCTAATAATCACATTTAGATAAATCTGCAACAACAGCAACCAACATTGGCTACAAATAAACAAAATGAATCAAAACATATTGTGGACCAATTCATCGAAGGTGAACAGCAGGCGGCTGGGAATTAATTGTTTGGATGATGCGCACAATACGTTTAATCAGCTATTAATTAAAATAAATTATTATTTACACTTTTTCATTCTTTTTATTAATAATAAAATGATTTCTTTATTACAAAACTAGTAAAAATGCTTAATTGATTTTAACTATAACTCAACATATAAACCTTTTCATATTTTGTTTGTTTTATCATTTGCAGAAGTTATTCTTTTAATAAATCAAAATTCATCCTACAAAATATTGTTATGTTAAATAAAAAGAAAAACAATAAAAATGTTTACAATGTGTACAAAACAAAAAAAAGAAGTGATGGAATTAAAAGAGTTTCTATAAAACTCTTAACATACATTGGTATATAAATATGATTTTATGAAGATTTTGTTTTCGTTTTTTTTTTCTTCTATAAAAAAAGTAGTATGTAATAGTTGTTGCAGGAGGGAAAATTTTGATGTGGAGGAAGGATGGTGGTGGAGGTGGTCTTTTGTATGTGTCATATAAAAATTTATTCGGAATCTTCTTCATCGGAAGTGTCAGTCGTATAATCGCTTAGATTCTCAGGTTGATCATTGTTTTCATGTTCAGATTCGCTCAAATCCCATTGAGGATGGTCTGTAGGTGGCGCTGGTGCTTTCTTAACATCCAGTTTAAGCTCTTGTTGTTGGTCCATACCAAGATATGAATCTGGAACAGTGAAATAGGTTAAAATGAAATCAATTATTGCGGATATAAATATTTTGTACACTACTACACACTAACCTGAACGCAGACATACGGTGAATGTGTATAGTCCTGGCCAACGTGGTGCTGTAAACTTCAATTGGATTTCTTCCTTTTCCACCAAATTTGTGACATGATACGGTGCTGTCAATAGGGTACGTGACTTACGATCACAGATATATGTCCACCAATATTCTTGCTTCTCCTCGGGGAAGTAGGGACAATGTACGGTGTGGGAAATACGAGATTTGCCTTCCAGTTTTTCACGTTTGTTAAGCTTTGCCTGCAGCCTCTCCCATTCTTCATCGTCGTCATCATCTAACGAGGAATTATTTTTAGTTTGCTTTTCATTATCTTCGTCACTGCCCGAAACGGAATCCTTAACATCATCTACATCGCTGCCTTCAACATCTGAATCAGCATCAGATTCATGTTTAGCCTGCTCTTGACTCTCTGCAACACTAGCAACGCTAGCCTTGGGTGGTTGGGGCTTTTTCTTTTGATTTGCAGCAGGTTTCTTTCCACCTTTACCGCCCTTACCTTTGCGTGGTTTAGCCCAGGCAGATGATTTCTTAACGGGTGCAGCGTTTGTAGTTGTAGCCTCTTCTTCGTCAGCGCCGGCTCCATTGCCTTGCTCTTCATCATCCCTAGATAAAAAAAACACAGAAAATTAGTTTATCTAACTTAATTGTAACTCTATTTAATACTTACTTGATACCTTGCTTTTGTGGTACCTTAGAATCGCCAAATAAGGTTTTCATATCTTTGCGTACCAAAGTGACAGTTACCGTAACTATAGCTCCAGCAGTAACCACATTTGTGTTTTCATCGTCGATGACCTCACAGCGTATCGAAAAATCAATTGAGGGCATTTTGCCCAATACCTTCATAACATTTTCATATTCCTGATCCGATAGGGTCTTTAAAAGTTGACGGCTTTCTTCCGGAGCCAATTGAGCAAATTGTTGTAGATTTTTAATGTGTCTTTTTTTGTTCATAAAGTATAAATGATCTTCGGTTACGTGTGGCAATTGAAGGAGAGGAGATTTGAATTCCCACAAGGCTTGAATAATCATTGGGGACATTTTCATACAATTTTCAATGGTTTCAATGCTGGGTAAACGTGGTACACGTCTTGCGTACGCTAACATAACCAACTGGTGGACACACGACACCATTTCTTGTACCAAATATGGACACTTTTTAACAATAAATTGACGATCCTTCTCCAATGTTTCAGCATTCAAGGGCATGCGCGACAAATGGGCATGAAGAATGGCGCGGGCTTTAATGGAATACATGCGACACAAGGGGTGTTCCTTACATTTCTCATTTAAATTTGGCAATTGTCGTATTAGCTGCAAATAAAAACGTCCTGTTTAATTCAGAAACCTAGAAGGAAATGCAGAATGCAATTCAAAACTTACCGCTGGCACTTCTTCATTATCAGACTGGCGCTCAACAACTTGAGAATTATGACGTTTATCGAATTCTAAACTTGCAGCCAATACCATCAAAGCACGTTTCAACAACATGTGTGGGGTTTTGTGTATGAAATAGAAATACATTTGTGTTGTATCCAAAAGAACTTTGTCACCTGAGTAACGAATAGAGCGATACCACCACATTCCTACCACCGAGGGTAGGGCCACCATAAAAATGAGGCCATAAAGACCCAACACCCAAACAGAGTTCTCCTTTTCAACAATCCAAGAAGGCAATGCAATACCAAACGACATTGCACCGGGACCATCGGGATTGCCATATTTCTCATAGTTCTCTTTGGCCACGTCATCGGTCAATGCTTGATAAGCCTTAGAAAGTTTCATGAATTCTTTTTCATCACCAGTCTCTTTGTCAGGATGGTAAATAAGTGAAAGTTTGCGGTATTGCTTTTTGATTTCTCCTATCGATGCGGTTGGTTCAACACCTAAAATTTCAAATGGATCAAAGCTGGCCATTTCATAGTCGAACTGAGAGACACGATAAGCCAAGAATATCAATAGGGCCCAACCTAAGACCAGACCCATTTGTATGCTAACATTTTTCACAGCGCGATATGGTTCAGCTGTAGCTAAAATGGCTTTTTTCTTGATGCAGTCTGGGCACTGACATTCTTCATTTGCTTTTTCTGGATCTGAAAAAAAGAATCGTGTGTTTTTTATTGTGCTGGATAAAAGGTGTTCCTTTTTGCATTACTTTTAAGTAAACATTTGTGTAAATAAAGTTAAATATAAAAGACAAAGAAAACAACACGGAAATGCTGTTATTTGATTGATTTGACTTGTTGTTAAAACAATATACGATTTTATGTATTATCCATGATAAAAATATGTATGATATTTTTACCATGGTATTATCTATACTGAGGGATTCGTATAGATGTAATTAATTTTATATTTTTCGAGAATGTAAAAATTCATTTGTGAAAAAAATGAAACTAGAGCTAAGTAAATTTTTCTTTAAAAATGACACCTGTGAGATACTTTTGTACATATCGTCACCTAAAACGCAAACGGTCCTATCTAACATTTTTAAAATTTTACAGAAACAAAAAACTATTTAAATTGAAATGTTTGTTTCTATCAACACGATTTAATAAATCGTGTTTATTTGTAGTAAATTTTTTTTAAATTGTTTAATAGTGAAACCTATCATTTGTTATGAGTTGACAATGGCGTATACAAACATGAATAAATTGCACTTTTTACCTTCAATATTTAAATGTTTTTGTATACCTATAGGACCTTTTGTTTTTTGTCAATAAAATGAATAATTTTGGTCGGAGAGGTCTAATTTTTGGCGTGGACATTTGTTTTGGCGCAATATATTAGGATGAACAATAAAGTCGATTTTGAATTTTTGGTTAGTTAGGGCCATTTGCGTTTCAGCTGACGATATGTACCTATAAAGATTACAAGGGTTTTATTGACGGATTTCGCTAAATTACTATCATCACCACTAAACTTCCTTTATTAAAGTTTTCTAGAATATAAACAATATGGCTAGGTATTCATTGATTATATTATAATTATTAGCTAACGCCTGAGAATCTTATAATCTTTATTAAAACCGAACATAAAAACCCAATATTCTTATCGTTATATTTTAATACTTCCACAAAAAGAGAAATGGACTGAGTCAGGTGGAAAATTCAAAGTTCTCAAACCAACAACAATTGCTTTATGATCGTTTTCATTTTCAAAGAAAAAATAGCTAGTCAATCATTCGGTCAATTAGATTCTCACAAACACACTTGAACTCAATGTGCGCTGGTTTACTTAGTGGTTGGCTCTTTCTCTCTCTATCTTTCTGTCTAAACGGCCACTTTCACCAGTCATCAGTAATTTTACATTACGAAAATTATTTGTCGGCAACATTAACTGAATAAATAATTGGAACGTAACAAACTGTTTCTTAAGCGTTCATTTTAATGTAGAAACTAAAACTCCAGATTTTCTTATTTGATTATTAACAGTGTAATAATGTCATGTTTTCCACTGTATAATAAGAAAAAATTTATTTTTGCGGTTTTCGCAAAGCACACACAAACACTTTTCAAATGTATACATTTTTAACATGCATACACACAAACATACGGATCTGTGGACGACGACGGACTCACCTTCTTTCTTTTTGCGGGGCCAGTAGTATATTGTGGTGGGAATTAGTACCAGTGCCAGAAAGGATAATAGGAAATAATAAAATGTTCCACCACTTTCATCATATTGAAATTTTTGACCCGCCATGATAGTTTATTTATTTAAGGTCCTCTGCTTCTGTTCTAGGTGTTGTTCAAATTGTTGGTGTATGTATTATTATTCTACTGCTGCTGCTGCTTTCTTCTCTAGACCCGGATGCATTCGTTCGTACATTCACTACTTGTTGAACACGTTGAGTTAATGCTTCTTTTTAAATATTTCAATAATTCATTTAAGCCTAAAATGTGTTTAACGCACTAAATTGAATGTATAAATTATTATGACTTTATTTTACAAGTGTATAAAATAATGTTAAACACAAAATTTTCTACGTCGCGTATTGAAAAATAAACTTTTCTTCTCAATCCAGCACGGCAATTACAATTCTCTTCGGTTTGACACGTCTCCGAAACAGGGTTGCTTTTCTCTCTATTTAATACACAGTGTATCAACTGTTAATGTAAAATAGTATTGCCCATGATACAACCAGTAAAAGGTAGAATCAGTAGGGAGAGTTATCAATTTTCTGCCTTGTTATGTCAAATATAGAAGGGCCCTTTGGGCCCTTCAGACGATCACACTTTACGTACGACAAGTCTAATGAAAAAGTAAAATGAAATTGCATCCGTATGACAAAAAAGAGAATAAAAGTCGTTTGATTTATATTTTTCGTGTTTACACGATTGGTATAAAACAATAACAAAGTAAGATGAAAACAGCTGTTTCACTTTTTTTGTATATGTTTACATAAAAATACATCCCTGATCTAATGCGACTTGCTTCAAAGTATATTAATAATGTAGCGACATCTCTTGTTGTACAACAACATCTACAACAACCACATGTATTTTGTTTTTGGAATAATTTAAGATTGTGTCAAAATAAAATTTCCTTGAACAGCAATGTGAACAAAACATAAATAAAAAAATATTACTTTTAAGTTAAAAATATTAACGATTTAATTATATTATTATATATTATACAATTTATTACACTTTTAAACTACTTTAAAACCACTTTTAATTCACTTTTCAACTTTTCACAAATTTTAACAAATAGCAAAACACAATTTAAAAATGGCGATATAAACAATATTAACAATTTTCAAAACAAACTTTGACAACTTGCATCCGTATTTTCTCTTAATGTCTGATAGTTTCATTACATATTGCGTTTAGACCATGGAACGTACTCTTCTACTGATTCTACCTTCTAATTGTTATATTATGGTATTGCCAACCCTACAAGAACAGTGACAGTCATTTGATCGGTCATTTGACTGGCACTACTGATTAGGGTTCTATAAATCGACTTTCGAATAATCGAACAATCGACTTTTTGTCGAAAAAAGTCGAAAAGTCGACTTTGTAAATAAAAGTCGAAAAAAGTCGAAAAAGTCGATAAGTTGAAAAGTCGAAAAAAGTCAAAAAGTCGGAAAAAGTCGAAAAGTCGGAAAAAGTCGAAAATAGTCGAAAATTTTAAAAAAGTGGAAAAGAGGTCAAAAACTCTAAAATAGTCGGAAAAACTCGAAAAAAGTAAAAAATAGTCGAAAAAAGTCGAAAAAAAGTCGAAATAAGTCGAAAATAGTCAAAAAGTCGTAAAAAATCGAAAAGTCGGAAAAAGTCGAAAAGTTGAAAAAAGTCGGAAAAAGTCGAAAAAAGTCGAAAAGTCAAAAAAAGTCGAAAAAAGTCGGAAAAAGACGAAAAGTCGAAAAAAGTCGGAAAAAGTCGAAAAGTCGGAAAAAGTCGAAAAGTCGACCATTTATAAAATACTAAAAGTCGAAAAGTCTAAAAGTCGACTTTTAAATAAATGAAAAAGGTCGAAAAATCGACTTTTCATAAAATGGAAAAAGTCGAAAGGTCGAAAAGTCGACTTTTAACTAAATGCAAAAAGTCGAAAAGTCGACTTTTCGTTTCAACTATAGAACCCTACTACTGATGTATTATTTCTATCACAGCGTAAAACAAAGTTTCCATCAGTTTCTTAGTCAGTTTCAAAAGTGATGGATACATTTGTGTACATGTGATTTTTTTCTCCCTTGCACTTATGAATTCTGTCGACTTTAAAACATATACTTGATCTTGACTAATCTTGCTTGATGGATATATCTATCACAGTTAACAAATTAAAAACAAGTAAGAAAGTATAGTCGGGCGTGGCCGACCATATGATACCCTACACCAGTTATGAATATTAAATGTGATTTATTTTTCATAATAAAGCATTTATCTTCAATATTCCCTTGTTCCGATACATTTAAGCAATTTATGGATGAAAAACTAATTTTCTGAAAGAGGCTTTATATGAGGCCTAGGGGCAAATATGGACCAAGCCCGATAAAATTTTGTGAATATATTTATATTTACATAATATTTTATTGTGCTGAATTTCATCGCGATATTTGTGTTTATAAGTTAATTTTCTGAAGGGGACTTTGTATGGGAGCTAGGTTCAAATGAGGCCCGATCTTTATGAAATTTGGCAGGGTCATCAAGACTTCTATAAAACTTAGTTGTGCTGTATTTTATCTTATCTGACTAATCATATTTGATGAATATATTCGTCAAATGTGACGACTATACCAATTTATAATAAAACACAATTTTAAGATATATGAGCAATTATCAAAGTTTTTTAATTTTAGAGTTAAAAAAAATCAAAAAATTTTTTTGATGGCACATTCAAAATATTTTGTGTGGATATAAACAGACCCTAATACGTGATGAATCCGTTCTCGTTAATCATTTGGTTGAAGGCGCAAAAGTTATAGCGGTTTTCACTTAAATATTTAAAAAAAATCTTAAAAATAGTATTTATATATGTAATATTTGAAAAAAATTGCACATAATTGTAAAAATAATTAAAATTTTGCGCATTAAATACATACCATAAGATTTAATTTCAAAATTTTTAAAAATACACAGTAAGAAATTTCATTTCATTAATTTTTTAACTTGTTGCTTATAGTTTTAAAAAAATCGCGAATTAGTAAATTTTAGGAAAAAAAAACCGTTCTACTGTTCTACGAGCTTGATTTATAAGGGAATGCAATTAAAAAATTATAGTTTGAAGGAGTTAGTTTTATTTGGCCCACAAAAACTACAATTATTTAACTTTTTTGATAAATTTTTAAAAAGTTCATAAAATTTTTGCATTCGAATATTTTTGCATGCTCCTCCGATTTTATATTTCAAAATAACAAAAAACTCAATTTACTCAATAATTCAAATTATTTCCTACATAAGTGCGAATGTGCCGCGCCAAAAACTGATATATGATGAATAGGATGTCGTACCGATCTCCTATTCAGGGCACATTAACGAGATATATACCATACTGTGTATAATTACATCAGCTAACCACTGTTGTTGTATTTTATTAAGGGGCGTCAGCGCCCGGTCAAAAAAACTGTAAAAAATTCAAAATTGGAAAAAAACTGGTGACAAATTTCAACAACCAAGTTCTAATACGTAAAGTGATATCACACGGATAAGCTTGTAAAGAATTTATCTCCTAAGTGTCTTTAGTTAGCACTATAACGAATAGTGTCCAAAAGTTTAAAGCTATGGACCAAAAAATAAAAAGAAGGTGAAAAAATTAGTTAGTGACACACTTTTTTTAATTTTGTAAACTTCCAGAACCGATTACGTTTAGAAATGAAGACCTAGAATTTCACAATTTTGCAATTTTTAGGCTGGAAGTCTTGTGTATATAATCCTATAAAAAATTTGTTTGACATTTTACTCTTACCAAAGTTATTAATAATTTCGTTTAATTTCAAAGGAAGTAAAAAACTTTGATAATTGCTCATATGTATATTTTTTATTTTATTAATATAATAAGCATATACATAAATTAACAATCATTTTACCATTTTACATACCTTAAATCCGCTGATGCTCCTTTTAAATCATTTTGTATGTGTTAAATCTCTGATACACAGTTGTCAGATCTTACAACGTTGTCAGTAAAATGTGCAGAAAATGTCCAACAATCGTGTGAACTTGCAATTTTTCTTTTGCAACGTTGTCAGAAAAAGCATTACTGAAAATATTGCAAGATAAAATTTGTAAATTGACTCCGTTGTTAGACATTTTCTGCACATTTTACTGCCAACGTTGTAAGATCTAACAACCGTGTATACATAGCTTTAGTTTCGGTCATACATTTCTTGTAGGGAAGGTAATTTGTAGAAAAAATTTCAATAATTGACAAAAAATAAATAATACATTACACAACACAATACAAAAATGATTAAACTAATACTATGTTCACATATCCATGTTTTTAGCGTGTTTTTGGAAAAACTCAATGAGTTTAAACACAACCGTTCACATATTAAATTATCGTGTTTTTTGCTTTGAAATGTTTTTCGGACTTAAACATTTTGTTGTAAAAATTAAGATATTAGGAAATTTTAATAAATGAAGTAATGTTAATCATAGTTTAAAAGGTATTTCGATGTACTTTCCAATCATTTATATTTAGTCTAGTATAAACTTTGTTCTTCTCAAAAAAAAAAAAAAAAAAAAAAAAAACAATTAACTAAACTTGAATAAAAAACGTTAATTTTATATACTTTATTATTATACATCAAATGAAAGCTTGAAATCTTTTCTAAAATTGTTTCAATACTTATTGGTTTTCTGGGATTGGATTTTAATGGGTTAATAAATTGGATTTTAATGGGTTAATAAATGTGGTCACATTATACATCTTGAAAAGGTTTTCCATAGCTCTTTCAAATGTTATATATTGTCCGGATCGTTTCACGAATTGACATATATCACAAATCATTTAAAGATTGGAAAGTTGTATATTTATTGTATAATAAGCCAATTAACGTAAGTAGTTACATCAAATAAATGTACATATTAAAAAATTATAAAATTTTCTACATTTTTCAAAAATTTGAAACTTTTATTTGTTATCATATTAAAGTCCTTTCATAACAACTTTAAAAAATATTCTTTTGCGTGAATAATCTCAAGACGGCGGCTTCTAAATTTTATCGGCGGCTAGGCTTAGTCGTTTTCAGTCAATTCAGCGCAGGTCTCTTATAGGCACAGGGAAAATATAATAGAAAACAAAAAATAAAATAAGCAAAAGTAATCAGAAGTTTGTCAAGTAAACTCTCAAAAACGGTGTCGTTGTTAAAACTCGCAAATACAAAAACTAAAAACTTTAAAAATAAACAAATTAAAAACTGTTATAAATTAGAAACAATTGAAACAAAATAGATTGTGTTGGAAAAATCAAATAAATTATTAAAAATGTTCAAGTTAAACGAAATGTTCAAGATAATGCAAATGTTAGAACTGGTGCTAGTGAATAAACAATTTAGTGGTACCACGGAATACGGTTGATAAATGTATATAATTTAGTGGTCCCACTCTTGTTTGAAAGAATGTGAATAAAAAAGAAGTAAGAAAATGTCAGAAATAAGAAAATTACTGGAGTAACTCTACTAGCTGACACCAGGTGTCGCTGAAATTGTAAACAGTACAACCCTGTGGAGCTGCCGTACAATGATGACAATGAGTGTTGTTGATTGTGTGTGCGTACAAAACCCATATCGAAATGTTAGTAGTAGAGCCACACGCCATATTTAATTTCTAAAGTCAAAGAAAGCCATTTTTCATTAAAAAAATATCTATGCAATATTTATGTGAAATTTTTACAACCCAAAAAAATGTTAAAAGTGCATTAAATAGTGTTAAATAAAAGAGTGATATTCGAATAACGAATTAAAAATATTACAAAAAGTTTTGCATAAAAAGGTTTGTTTTATATCCATTTACAAAAAATCGAATCAATTTGTTCATCTCTTTGGTGTTTGCTTGCTTTTATATCATTTTATTAATGGCTGCTTGAAGTGTCTTCTTTTTTTAATTTTATTCTTTTACTTTTCAATTTCGTATTAAATCTAAATTCTGTGCAGTAATAGTGAATAATTAAAAATTATTATTATAGTGAAATTTAAGCATAAATAATGTAAATTATAAAAAAACAAATTCTTTTTGTTATAAATGAATTTATATCATCAATAATCAACATTTGTATGTGTATTTTTTTCTTCCCATTTACAATGCAGTGTTGCCACCAGTCAGTATGGCCCAATATTACCAAATACAAAATCTTGATGACCTAAAACAAATCTACGCTGATGTCCAAGTGGTTCATGTGGCCAGTGATGATGTTGGTGTCAGTAACCCAAATAGAGCTCAGGTTCATAGTTTTAAAATTACTAACCTCATATAATTAAGATTTTTGTTTTTTTATTAAAATGTAGAATCGTAATTTTAAATCGAACTCGAATGATAAAGTGTATGTTATATTTATGATAGATTTCATTCGAAAATACATGTGTATTTTCCTGGGAATATAGTTGCAGAACTCATAGATCTTTTGGTAAAAAAAATTAGCCCAAAATATGGCAGTTAGGATTGTGAATGTATATTCTTATTTATATTGACTGCTCACCTTCCCGACAAACAGTCGCTGCACAGAGGTCATTCAATTACAGGGGTGACTTGGTCGAAATCTACACCGTTTGCTTTCATAGACCTGGTCCACACTAGGAAACTTTTGTTGAGAAACTTTTTCTTAATTCTCTTTTGAAGTTTCCTTAATGTCCACACATGAAAACTTTTGTTTCAGAAACTACGTATTAATTGCATTGATTTGTTGTTGTACGAATGAGAAGAATAACAAAACAAGTTTCCGAGTACGGGAAATTCCGTACCGCGAGAGAGATGAATGATATTCTTTCTCTCTCACGCAAAATCAAAAGTTTCCCAAAAAAAAGTTTCCTAGTGTGGACCGGCAGATAATTGAAAAGAATGAAAGTTTTCTCAATGTTAAGTACAATTTATGAAAACGGATTAGTATAATAATTTTTCTTTCAACATCTTCTCTGCGCTGCTATGTTAGGGATTGCCACCAATATTTCGGCAGCCTGTTATTTAAGTTTTTGCTGATATCTGTTTCGAAATGAGTTTCCTAGCAAAAACAGCTGCTTGTAAATAGTTACATGTAGATATAAGTTGGTATAAGTTACGAAAACGTAATTTAATCGGAACTAAAAAATATAAAACAACATTTAAGCAAATAAACTAACTTTAATAATAAAATGTAATTGATTGTATATTACCCGAACTTTGAAATTAATTATATTTCTTTATTTTTTCAAAAATATAGCAAATTGTTCTAGATGAAACCCAACAAATTCTTCTACAAAATGATGGTCCTCAACAAGTTGTCTATCAAACACAAGGAACGCCTACGCAATACCAACCGCCTCAAGCGGGAACTCATTACACCATTTTGGGCGAAGATATGAATCAACCTCAAGCCCAGACTGTACAACATCAACAAGTGCAACAAGTCCAGCAACAGCAAGCTCAAACTCAACAACAACATCAACAAGCTCCTCAACAACAACAGCAACAACAAGTATTGATGCATCAACAGCATCATCAAGTATTAGACCCTCAACAGCAGCAACAACAGCAACATCAATTGCAAGCTGCATATCAGATGCCACAAGAAACGCTACAGCAGCCGCAACATATGCAACCACAAGATCATCAAATGCAACAGCATGTTCAAGCACAGCCACAGCAAATCTACTATACAACAGATCAGTTGGTGCATCAACAACAACAGCAACAACAGAAGAAAGTATATATACAACAACAGCCTCAGCAATTGCAGCAACAGTATCAACCACACCCTCAGCATCAACAGCAAATGATTCATCAAGCACCACCGCCGCCTCAGGCCCAACAACAAACTCAGCAACATATTTTACAAAGTCCCCAACATCATCCGCAACAGGTGCAGGTGCAACATCAAGTATCACCAAGCCATCAGCAACAAACCCAACAACAAGCCCAAATTATTTATAGAATGCAGCCGCAACAAACGCAGCAATTACAACAGCTAATAGTTCAACAGCCTTCGGGACAACAGGTGTTAATCCAACAGCCCCAACAACAAGAACTAATAATGAGGCAATCAATGCCTCCGCAGCGCATCATCTATAATAATCGTGTTCTATACTCGACCCAACAACAGTCGCCCCAACAGCAGCAACACACGGTGATGGGACAATCGCCACAAACACATCAGCAACAACACATATTGCAGACGACACACACCACGATGCAGCAGCATCACAATCCAACTCATTTAGTGCAGCAAGCACGTGTTGTTCCCTCCCAACATCAACAGCAACAGACTCAACAACAAACGCCTCCACCCCCACCTCAGCAACAAATGCAACAAAATGTTGTTTATCAACAAATTCAAGTTCAAAACAACCAAATGCCTAAGACATTGATGCAACAGCAGCAGCCAACTCAAAATTCTCCACAGCATCAACAACACATACAGTTGCAACAACAACAACAGCAGCAACAAACGCAAATGGTGACACAAGCACCGAATCCAAATGGTACAACAATCATACGCGCTGGTGTAGCTAGAGGAGGTAAGATTGGACGAGGAGCGATGAGTGGCACATTAATAGCACGAATGCCCGGTATGGCGGGAGTTGCTAGAGCAGAAATAAGACCGGGTTTTAATGCTGCCGGCGCTATTGGCGGTGGAGGAGGTCAAATATTACGAACTCCTCGGCCTCGTTGCAGCACTACGGCTGGTTCAACATCAAGGGGTCGAGGAAGAGGAGCTCGCGGTGCAGCTGCAAATGTAACAGCTGGAAGGGGTTCTCCCATTTTGGGCAATAACCAACAGCTGGGAACACTACAGCAAGGAAAAATAGTTACCCAATCCCTTCCGAACCAGGGCATTCGACAAGTTTACAGAACACAAGTTAATGATCCAAATCTCACAGTTCAACAGCAACAACACCAGCAGGTCCACTTAGTGCAAGCTCAACCCCGAATGCCGGGCGTGGCAAGTCGGTTTCGATCTCCCGCCATAGGAACACAGCAGCAACAGCATCAACAGAGTCCATCAGAGAGTGGTCAACAGGCACCATCATCATCTAGCTCAGGCGCAGCAGGTGCTGGAGGAGGAGGTGCTGGTTTGGGAGATCTTGACTTGGAAGATAGTATTCAAGCGGTATTTGTGAAAAAAGATGCTCAGCAACCAAAAGTGGCTGGTGCTCCAAATCAAAGTCCAACAACAGTGCTTAGCAGCGGCAATTCAACACCAGTTAGTGGCACTACACTAACAACATACTATACCGCCAAAGATGATGACGAAAATCGTATGATTCGAACTCAAAATGGCACATGCATGTCATTGGCTGAATTTAAGAAACGTAATGCCAACGCTAGTGGCAATCAAATAATACAAAATGCCGCTGCAGCTGGCAGTATCAAACCTTTACAACAAACGGCAGGCGGGGCAAAAATTTCTTTACCAGCAGCTGGCCAATCTCTACACAGCGTACCAGTCGCCCGTGTTGCCCCACAGAAGCATATAGTGAGTAAGGAACAAGGTGGCGCTGGTGGTGTGGCAACAAGTGTAGCTGGAGGAGCTAATGCAACAAGCAGCTCTGTTACAAATCAGCAGATTCCTAGCGGACCTCCAGCTGGTTCTTCCGTGTACCAAACATCGCATAATAACTATGAAATACAGACACAGCACGTGCTACAAAATCGCGCCGGTCAACAAATGGCTGAAAAGGATCGCAACAGCGCAAAAATGTTGGTTATTTTGGTATCTGGCGAGCAACGATTGATTACATTTACTCTGCCTAGAGAATCGTGTACCGTACAGGATCTTTTGGAACAGGTGGGAGTGCCGTTCGATAATAGCACTACTATACAATGTGTGGAGAATCCAGGAGCTAATATAGATTTTGTAGTAACTGTTGGATTTTCTGTACAAGAATCTGCCAGTGAATTGATATCGAGAGCAGAACAAAGTCTACAAATAAGTAGACAACAAGAAAGTATGCAACAAAATGCAGCGGCTGCTGTAACAGGTTCTCAAGCTGCTGCTGCTACTGCAGGAACAAATACTACCGAAGGTAATGCGCAGAATAATTCAGCAGCAACGACAGCAGCTACTGTGGCGGCGACGGCACCCAATATTGCACAAACCACCGAAAATTCCATGAAGGAACCAAACAACTCAAAACAGGCAACAACTGCCAATGCAGCAACTACTTCAGCGGCTTCAAGTACTTCTAAAGCCACCGAAGAATTGCCTCAGCGTAAACTTATTCAAGGCTTCTACGCCATTTGTCAGAGTTGTGGCTTTAGCGGTTATGATCATGCCAAATGCGAACGCTGTAAACGTGTTTTTATGGAACCTCCTAAAAAGATTCCTATTAAACAAGCTACTGCATCGCCGTCGTTAGGAAGCAATTTTGCTAATTCAAATAATTCGGGCTCTGCCGACTCACCAACTCCGTCGTCAACGGCACCGCCTATTGAAAAGAAACGCCATTCGGAAACTGCGGCCCAAAGAGGAAAATCATCTTTGACTTACAATCCCAATGCACCGGCACCACCCACACGTGGTCGGGGAGGTTCTCAATCGGCAAGAGGACGTGGTTCACGTTCGGGTCGCCGAGCAGCAGAAATTGAACCAGTTATTTTAACACTTAGCAGTGACGAAGAGGATGACGAATCTTCAAATAAAGGAAATTCCAATGTAAGTTGTTTGCTGTTTTATAATATTTATGCCATTTACCCTGTTAAATTAAATGTTTCGAAAAATAGAATGTTCATATATTTATTTGTCTTTTGCAGATGGCAGCTTTAGCTAAACCTTCAAATACATCTTCCAGTGCATCATTGGCATCATATAAACCATTCTCATTTGAACCAAATATGCCAGACCCTGATGAAACAGCATTATACAATGGTAAGTGTCAATAGACTTTCCATTAAATTTGCGGATTTTCATTCCGATAGAAAATGTAATTTTCGTATTTTCCTGCTACAGAAAATGAACGTTTTTTTTTGAAATGAAAATCGAATTGCTTACTTACTTAAGTAGAATTAAAAATTTGACTGTAATGATGTATCGTTTAAATCAAAGTGCGTTTGTGAATTGCAATTATGGGAAATGATACCATACCAATATAAGTGTATATAAATTTCAATATTTTTTTCCAAAAAATATAATTCTGAGAATTAACGTTTGAGTTAAATCCATTTTGCAAATTTTGTACAGTTAAAACGTGACTTTCTTTCAAATATTGTTTTCTCACAAAAAATCTACATTTTTAATTTGCTAAATAATATTGTAATCTGGCAACACTGAATTGAGTAACATGCAGTGGTAGAGGAATTTTTTTGTCAAATATAACCTTATTTATTGTTTATTTGCGCTACTTGCCGCTAGGTGGCCTTACAATGACACTGACATTTGGACGCCATTATTGCTTTTGCTTAGTAGAAGAAGAAAATTGAGATAAATGTATGTTGAAAGGCAAATAAAAAAGTGACTGACATTAAAAAGCATTGTTAATTTTAGCTAAAATATATAACTTATTTTTTTTAAATATTTTGGTTAATAATATTGTACATTTTGTTTAGAAAAACAATGGATATAAATGGTAATTAAAGTATATAGAGATTAATAGGAACAAAAAAAGATCGATTTTCCCTGCAGAGAATAAATTTTGTAACACGTTTTTATGTGTTTGTGTATAAGTATAAAAAAATTTACAAGCATTTTCAATTTTTGTCTTGTGGTTATAGATTTTACTCGTGGGGACGTTACTGATCTTACAAATTGTGCCGATAAGATGAGCTGCAGCCTGGCATGCAAATTAATACGATTTGGAACTTATCGTTTTGAACCCTCGGAACAGGTGAGTGTGTTTACATACAAAGTAAATGACCCAATAAGAAATTTGTTGTTTTTTAGGTGATAATTACTTCACTGGGTATACGTATTGTAGCACCTTTGGAAACGAATCCAAGTGAAATGTTTGCCTTAAATATTTACAAACATGAGGTTGTCAAGATTATTGCACACTTTTCCAAAAGCTCCTCGGCCAATTCCATGCTGTGCTTCTACACTTTACGTAATTGTGCCCAGTACATACAGAAATCGTTAAATATGACAGAAGTTGCTAAACATTTGGACGGTGGTAAGTAAAAGGCGCTAACTTATAATTAATATAATTAATTTATACAATCTTTCCTTTTCTGTCGTTTTTAGTTACTTATTTTTCTGCTAATGGTCCTTATCAAATACGTAAAATAATTTTACAATTTGATATCATATCAGAGCAAGCCAAAAGTGTTATACGTTCTATATGGGACTTTCTTGATGAAATTTCTGAAACGGATGCACAAGACTTGCTGCAAAGAGCTGCTGATTCAGACAAAAAATTGGCTAACAATAAAAACAATAGGTAATGCTTTAACAATCGAAAAATACAAACTCAAATAGTAATATGTAATTAATTTTTTTATCTTTCAGTGAAAACATTCCCACAACAACACAATTGCAACCAAATGAAATACGACAACTTCTAATATATCCTCCAGGAAAAGGCGGCATATCAATAAACACTGAAGATTACATGTGTCTGGCGACGGATCAATATTTGAACGACATTATTATTGATTTCTATTTGAAATGGGTTCACGATAATGTAATCCCTGAGGCTCAAAAGGAACGTACTCACATTTTCAGTACATTTTTCTATAAACGTTTAACCACTTTAACACGTCATACGCATCATGATAAGGATGGGGGTAAATTGACACCGGCCCAAAAGCGTCATGCACGCGTACAAAACTGGACGAAAAATGTAAATCTTTTCGAAAAAGATTTTATTGTTATACCCATCAATGAACAGTCGCATTGGTTTTTGGCCATCATATGTTTCCCTCGTCTTAAAGGTCCGGTTACCTTTGATACAAATACTCCTGTAGAATTGCAACCCATTAAGAAAAACAGTAAGTACCCTCAGTCGAAACAATATCATCTAAAATACTTAATATTTGTTCTTTCTTTTGTTTTTGAAGAAGGCAAAAAGGTGTCCTTGCAAATTGGTAATACAACGATCACACCCTTATCGAAACGTGATAGTGCCAGTGTCCTAAGTGAGATTTGCGGTGTTGGTGACGACGACAGTGAGCGGGACGAAGCTGAAGGTGATGATAGTGATTTGGCATCGGAGGACAGTGATTTTGACAATACATCATCGTCCACTACTTTAAATAGTTCCCAACCGGCTACTCCATTAATACCGGGTACCGCAACTACATCGACCCACCAACCCATTAAACAGCCACTTATATTAATATTCGATTCGTTGGCGGGTGCATCTCGCAGTCGTGTTGTTGCCACTCTACGTGACTATCTTACGTGTGAATACAAAATAAAAATGACCGGCGCTCCGTTGCATACCTTTAACAAGGACAATATGCCGGGACATTGCGTTAAAGTTCCTCAGCAAAATAACTTTACTGATTGTGGCCTCTATTTGTTGCAGTATGTTGAGCACTTCTTTAAGGATCCGATTCGTGATTATCGGGTGCCGATAAAACAACTTGCACAATGGTTTGACACCTTGACTGTGACGCGGAAACGTGAAGACATTTCGAATTTACTGCAAAAGCTAATGAACGAACGCAATGGGCCAAATAATAAAATTATATTGCCAGAAATTCCGTTTCCAACGCTTAATGGCCAGCTGGTCGAACCAGAGGGTTACAATATTGAATTTGAAGAAGAAGAAATGGAAGATGATGATGAGGTAAGTTGTAGACATTAACGAATATTAAATTTCAAATTAACTTATGTATTGGTTTTAACCTTCGCTATAGGAGGAAAATACCACAGGGGATATGGATGAACTTTCCACAGATGATACCAGTAAAAGTAAGACACCTATTAAAATGCCGACCACAGCAACCACCGTTGCAGCTACTACAACTACGACAACTGCTGCTGCTTTAGTTCCAACACAAGGACGTAAAATCGTCGTTAAACGACGAATGCAAATAGGCGGAAGCAATGATTTAAATAGTTCCCAAGTAAATGCTGCTGCTACCACTTGTGGAACACCACCGGCAACGTCGTCAACAGCGACGTCAAGTCACCAACGCACTAGTAGTATGGCTAAAATACGTAAAGTCGAGTCTTAATAAACTCAAGGATTTTTGTACGATTTCATCATAATTTCACGCACATTCACACTGTGTGTTAAGCGTCATTGTCGTCATTATCGTTTAATATTAAATATCATCATCTTCATTTATTTTGTTGTTACTACTCAACGTATCTCCATAGTTTTAAATACTCTCTAAGCCTTGTTTCTTTATTATTATTATTTCCTATTTTCTTTTTTTGTATTATCTCGTAGATTGTAGGACTGAATGAACGAAAAAGATTATTAAAACAAGAAGAAATTTTTTCAAAAAATTTATATTTTTGTTTTTATACTTTTTTTTGGAATTACTGTAAATATTTGATTAATTTAAATAATAGTTATTAACTACTAAACAAACAACAAATAAGAACCACTTAAACTGTGTTAAAATAATTAAAACAAGTGGTTGGTTAGTTTATAACCTAAAATATAAATAAACTAAAATTTATTCATATAAATAAAAAAACCGTGTTTTCATTTGGACCATTTATTATTGAAGTTGAAATTATTCTAGTGCGACGTTTGATGGTTTTGTTTTTATTTTCTTCCCTTTTGTTGTTTCTTTTTCCGCGAAACTACCCCCACCATACTCAATCTACAGATCAATTGTGCAATTACGCTTTGTCTTTACTATTACTCGATTCTCTTTTCATAACATTTTTCTAACATGTATACAAACTACGTTTAAAATACATGACATTTACAATGAACAAAACAGTTCACTTTAGTTTTATTTAAACTTGACTAAATAGAACTTTTTTCACATCTACATTCATACATATCTTATTCAACTATTTTGAACAGACAATGTAAGTTTAACAAGATTTCACCATGTATAACTTTCGTTTTGATATTTTCAAGTCTCTATTTAAAATACTCATCATGTATGTTTTTCTGTTGTAGACAAAACAAAAACATAAAAGTGTGGTTATTCATTCATATTGTATTTACATTGAGAAACATTGTATGAGTGAGTGAGTGTTGTTTACTTGTTTATTTTACCATTTTGTGCTCTCTCATTTATATAGTGATTTATTTGCGCTCATTTATAACAACTTTGTTGTTGTATGTAGGAGTTGCCAACTTCTTACCAATGCCATTATAAAACGGGATTTATATTTAGCGAATAAGAATTATAAAAATAATATCTCTTAGAACTTAAATAAATAATTTTATATTATATTTTTACTTAAAAAAATATATAATTTACAAAATCTATTTATTTATAAATGTAAAACGTGTGCTTGTATATTATTGCATATATATTTTAATATTAAAAAATATGTAGTTATTTACAAAAATACATTTTACAACTTAAAAACCCATTCATTCTTATAAGAACAATTTACAATGATTTCCTTATCTATACATTTATAGGTATGTTACATTATTTTTAAACGAGTAACTCTGTCACTGTACAAATGTTTTTTTACTATTAACATTTTTCTTCTTTGTCTTTTATTTTGGCATTTTTCTTTTATTTACAACTGCATGTAAATTAAATGACAGCGAACAACTACACATACGCAAAAGTACAAACACAGAAAATAAACAACCCCCCACACTACTCACACTTTAGATCATTTAAGCAGGAGGCTGTCTGTCTCTTTTATTTTATAGGCTGGTTTTTCTTCTTTTTTTTTTGTTTTAGTTGTTGTTGTTGCTGTTGTTAGTATTCATCTTTGTTGTTGCTTTCATAACATTCTCCATAACATGTATGTAGTGAAAAGCGAGTAATGAAATAAGAAACATACATGGTACATCATAATGATTGAAACATTTACAAATAATTAACTTATGTTGTTGTTGTTTTAAGTCGTATGTATAGTTAAAACAAAATTTGTTTTATGTAATGTTTTGAAATAAACTTAGTTTCTTTTAAAACTTTTCAAAATTTAGTGAAATTAGTTAAAACTTAATGCAAAACATAACACCATGTATGTTTCATAATTGTGTTTAACAGAAGAAAGTGAGGTTAGTTTTAATTTTGTTAGTTGAGTACATTTAAGTAAAATTTCTTGCTCTCGCTTTGTCTCTCTCATTCGCTGTATTTTGGTGTAAAGTTCTCAATGTTTTGATTTATTTGTTTTGTTAAGAGTTTTTATTAAACCATGGTGGCCAGGTACCTCCAAAACCATTTAGAACTTTAAAGTAATTATTAATAGAACAAAAATATATTAGAAAAAAAAAAGAAATTTAAATATTTTTCTGTTTTTAGCATTTAATGTTGTTGCATTTTCTTACTTAAGATGCATTTTTAATAATGATTTCCTTTACTTCAATAAATAAGTAGTGTCTCTGTTGTAATTTTTGTAGCAGTGGCCACCCTAGTATTGTTCTCTTTTTGTGACGTCAATATTAATACACTTTTGAGTAATTTTTCAGTATTGTTTTTCTTTTTCTTTCTCTATGCACAACAAACAGTGGATAACTTAATGAGTCACTATTTTTTAATTGAACCTTTTTTACAAGTGATTTTTTATTTGTTTTCTGAAATCCAAAACAAGTAGAAGTTAAAAGTTATCGGTGGAATAAAATAAGTGAAATTAATTCCAATTTAAAAGACTAAACATGTTCTCCAGTGGTCCCAACTATACCAAACTAAAAACCAACCTACGATTGGCCGTCAATCGTTTAAAGTTATTGGAAAAGAAAAAATCAGAAATTGCACAAAAATCTCGCAAGGAAATTGCTGACTTCTTGGCCAATGGAAAAACCGAAAGGGCAAGGATACGTGTTGAACATATTATAAGGTAAGTAACTAATGCAGATAGTTTTAGTATCCGCGTAAAAAAACATTTCTAATTTTATACATTTTAGGGAAGATTATTTGGTTGAGGCCATGGAAGTAGTTGAAATGTATTGTGACTTACTACTGGCCAGATTTGGCTTGGTGACCCAAATGAAAGAGCTGGACGACGGCATAGCAGAGGCTGTGTCTAGTGTTGTATGGGTGTGTCCCCGTTTGCAAAGTGATATATCCGAGTTGAAGGTGATTTCCGACATATTTATTCAGAAGTATGGTCCACAATTTGCTGAAAGAGCACGAACTGCCACCGGTGATCATCATGTTTCTGAAAAGTTAATGCATAAATTGCAACTACAGGCTCCTCCCAAGCTATTGGTGGAGAAATATTTAATTGAAATCGCCAAGAACTATAACATTGAATATGAACCTGATCCACAAGTACTAAATGAGGAAAAAGAAGGTATAAAAATGAGCTTTGATTCAAAAACATTAATTTTGCAACTGAAACTTTATTGATAGGACGAGATCAAAATCTCATAGACTTGGCAGATCGCAATAATTTGGGCGGAGGTTCTGGTCCTCCACCTCAAATGGGCTTTATAGGATATCCAACGGTACCACCATTACCACATATGCCAGAACCACCATCTAATAAACCTTTTAACTATCCACCCTTTGGCGGTGGTGCTGGTGGCGGAAGCGGAGGTACTGCGGCTCCACCATTACCATACGGAGGTGGACCTGGCGGACCTCCACCATTCAATTATAACATACCACCCACTTCTCCACCAATGAACAATGAACACAAGGATTTGAATACACAGTTTATAAACGTAAGTAAAGAGTTGGAAAATTATGATTAATTTAAACTACCAGAGTTGGCATGTCAGCATGTGCTGCAAATTTTGTAGAATGGTCAACAAGCACTTGTGTGTTTTTTAATTAATATTGTTGACCATTTTTTGTAAGCAAAATTTGAAGTCCTCATTTAGCATGATTTAATCTAACTAACTTTAACACGGCTAGGAGGAAGCTTCTCAGGATTTACAGGCTTCAATAGCAACTGATAATAATGTTGAAGAGGCAGCTGGTTTTGATGAAAGTATTTTGGTAGGTTTTTCAGTAATTATTGTGCGTGTTTGTTACTAATGTTATCTGCTCAGCGTGTGCGTTATTAGATCATTGTGTATATTTACTACTCACATACCTCATCCACTTTTGTTGCACTAATCCAATTGTTTTGTGTCTTCTATTTGTAAATAATATTTTATGTTTATCCTTTTGTTTTACATTTTTATTTTTTTTAATAGCGACAAAAAATGCACAATGATCCACCACCACGTTACTCTTCAATTAATCCTGTTAATCTACAGGTAGCTTTTACTAAAAACGAAAACTTGTACAATACTTTCCTATTTTAAAATTTGTTGCTGTTTTTTTTTAACTTTTAAGCAAATTACTATCAGGCAAATTACGAACAATTATTCCCTGGGAGTTCGTTCCCTTTTATATGCTTTAGGTAAGAGAGGGGAGACAAAGTCCCAGGGAGTTTTTATTCGAAATAAGCCTGTATATTTTTCTTTATCTGTAATATTTAAATGTTTCTTTTCATTTCTTTGTTTAGAACGCTAATAAGCCAAAGCCTCAACCACGCAGTAAACTGCCTCCTCCAGCAGTGCAGCCCTCTGCACCACCTCCATCCATGGATATACCGCAGTTACCAAATGTTCCCATGGATTTGCCAGATATTCCTACAGATGAATTGAAGCCTAATAATAACGACGATGACATTGATTTTGATGATTTATCCAAACGTTTTGAAAATCTTAAAAAACGCAAATAAGTAAAATGAAATTAATATATGCTTAGTTGATTGCTATGAAGTGTTATTTAAGAAAACGTATTATATTTTATCCATACTGTTATTAAAATAAAATAAAAAAGAGTAAATAAATTATAAACACAAACGTTACAACAAAACGTTTAGAAAATTTCATCTGTTTCCACCACTTCCTTAAGTTCCAAAAGTTCAACCAAACCTTTGCCTTTAGTTTCATTGCGTACCAATTCATCAATAACACGATAATTTCCGGGATCAATTAATAAGGTCATGTGTAGAGTAGATTCATCCCATTCTTCATGATCCACAGCAGTGCTGAGTTTTAATATAGATTCCTTTAACTTGGGTCCATTGTCCTTTTTAGCCGCAAAGGAGACTCTCAACTTCATGCGGGACCTTTCAATGGGCATGTGTTCCTTGAGCAATTTAATGGCATCCAATGTTTGCTGTTTATTATTACGATTTGGCTTAATTGAAAAGTGGGCTTCTTTTAGAGATTTCTCTATAATGGTAGAGGAATAAGGTCTCCGGGTTTCGGGGTTAACACACAAGGCAGCCACACTATTAATGATACTATTCAATTGTGTATCATGCACTGACTGTCTTTCCTTTTCTGACACTTGCAGTTCACCCTTCATTAAAATTTCTTTGCAAATTTCAGTTTCCTCTGATTTGCCAAATGCTTTCATTAGTTCTTCCTTCTTGGCGGCCTGTCCCTTAGAGACATTAGTAAACACGGTATGTGTTTGTAAAACTTCATCGATATCTTTTTCCCTTTAAATGAAAATTAAATTTTTAATATAATTTGTAATATTGTAATATAAGTAAATGCTTACACATTACTTCTCCAGGAAAGTACTTTATTTTTATAGCAGGCTATTTCAAAACGTTTGCCTCCCTTTTTCAATCTTACCACAGCCACATTTGTAAGACGTATTTGATTTGTAGGCGTAAAGATTTTAGACATGGTGAATAAATGTTAAATTTAAAAAAAATGTAAAAAAATATTTTTTACAAAAAGCTTGTGTTGTTGGTGAAATACTTTTTATGGAATTAAAACGAAAGAGAAACAAAACAAAAAACATGTGTTTGATAAATGTCAAAATATTTTCCAATTGTCAAATAGCTATGGCAACACTTAACAGACAATCAGTTGAGAAACCGTAAACTTGCGCCGGAATTTGCAACAAATCACGTCTCTCTTTAAACGTAAAAATTCGTTAATTTAATAAAGTTACACAAGTATAAATATAATTAATTCGTTAAATAAACTGCAATAAATACGGGTATTATGAACATTTTTAAAATTTCAATAATAAAATTAATTAAAATCATATTACAAATAATTGTTGGAGTAGAAAAGGAATTAAGAAAATTAACAAAAATGCTTGTATAAGTGTGTGTGTTTCAGGAAATAGTAGAAGTAGTAGTAGTAATTTTTTATTGAGACTTATTTCATTTTTGACACTACGAAAATCTTATAAGAGTAAAGATATATGTAACAAGGTTTCTTAGAACTATATTCGTCTTATTCTAATACACGGTGAATTGAAATGGCTACTAGCCTGCAAAATGGATGGAAGATGTAACACTATGTGTACATTATATTTTTATGAAATGTCAATGCTTGCTCGCGGCATTTATGTTGACTAACAGAGCTATGTCTGTTAAAAATAAATAAACAATACAATAATCAAAACTAATATATACAATACAAACAATACTGTCAAGTAACGTTAACACAACAGTGAAATTGAACAAATCAAAATTTACAGTTAACAGAACGTTAAACCAATTAAAACCGAAAGGTTTCCAGATCGTGATCACAAATTAATATAATTATCCGAAAGGAGTTCATCTTACAGAGATAGATATAAAATCGGACTCTATCTGATTCCAATAAACCATCCATAAAGCAGTTTAGAAGGCAATAAGTAGAATTTTCAGAGAAAATAATACAATTCACCACCCGTAACCTTAAAAAATGGTACCAAAATCTAGTAAACAAAGTATATAAAATATCACATATATGTATGTATAAATATCACAGATAAATTCGAAAAAAGTGTATATAAAATATCAGCCCCTGTGTGTCCCCTGGTCGGATTTCCTGAAGAAATCTGGCAGTTCGTAGATGGCGTCGTCCAAGATAATATTCTCATTGAGTATTCCAACAGGAGATAGATAATAGGGGTTATGCCAGCTGATATCCCTTTGTGCCGCAAAAATCTCGTTCATTAGATGGTTCTCATGATCAGCGAGACGGTCCACAAACTTCCTTTGTAGAGCTAGAGCATACTTGCAAAATGGAGTCACAGAAGCAGTCTCATAGATGAATGAGTTGGAAAATCTTTCCGTATGATTTTTAAAGTTGCGGTTTATACATTTACGTAAAATATTTCTTTCCAGAAGTTCTATCTCTTTCGCAACCGTTGGAGATATGGAAAACCATATTGGAAAAGCATATGTTAAGACGGATCTTATTGCCACTTTGTACAGGAGGAGTTTAGTATTTTTGGGAAAATAAGTACTATTCAGCAACCTAGAGAACATCGAAGCAATGCGTTTAGTTTTTGTCAGAAGTGTTCGTCCATGGCAGTTAAACTTAAAAAGTTTGTTGAAATTAACTCCAAGGTATGTTATATTGTCTTTTATTGGGATTTCTATCCCATTTAGTGTGAGAAGTAGGCATTTACTTTGGGGGACCACGTAGTCTGCACATTTGCCCGATGCGTTTCTAATACATATAGCCTTCGATTTTGCAGCATTTATCTTAATTCCCCATTTGTCGTAGAAATCACGGATAGAACCCAAATGTGCGGCGGTGTTTTTCAGTGCTTGTAATGGCGAATCATTGTGGCTGTAAACCAAACAATCGTCAGCATATAAGATTGCTGTGGAGTTATCTTTTGTATGCGGAAAATCATACAATAATATGTTGAATAAATATGGAGCAAGAATGCTACCCTGTGGTACACCACTGTTCACAAACCCGCACGAGGAAATACTGTCCTTTATTTGAACACAAAATTGTCGGTCTGTAAAGAAACTTTTAAAAAGTTTAACAATAAATGGATCTACAGCGAGTTCTACCAGTTTATACAGGATGCCTTTATGACATGTGTAATCAAACGCCTTCTCGATATCCAGTGATATGGCCAGAGTACAGCATCTTTTCCTCAGATTCACAGTTACATCATCGTGGAATTTCATTAGGGCGTGTTGAGTGGAATGGTGGCGTTTAAACCCAAATTGATATGATGGGATGGGTTCGATCAGAAATTCATTTTCAAGTTTTGATTTGATTACATGCTCAAGCAGTTTGCCAATGTTTGACAGTAGTGAAATTGGACGGAAGTCCTCAGCTCTATTACAACTGCCTTTCTTCTTCATTGGCAAAATTTTCGCTATTTTCCATGCCCGTGGAAAGTAACAATTATTGAGGCAGTTGTTGAAGAGAATAGTCAAAAGCTCAATAGTTGGGTCTGGGAATTTTTTTATCAAGAAATTTGAAATGCCGTCGAGGCCACTGGATTTTTTGTTTTTTATGTTCGATATGATCGATTTAATGTTGTGGACATTTGTAAAATGGTACGCATCCTCATTGTCTAGAGAGTTGAACTCACTATTGAAAGAATATATATGGTGTGATATATTCTCAATATGCGAGCCTACACGATGAGCAAGATCGGCCACCGGATTAACAGGAAGTTTTTCCGTATATATGTTGGAATAGTATTCCTTAAAATACGCAGAACATGTATCACTGTTGGTTACCGTAACGTTGTCAATACAGATATTGTGGCAAAAAGGTGATTTATGTTTCCCAACAATATTATATACCTGTTTAAAAGCATGAGGTCCGGGTTTGATATGTTTTAGTTTGTTGTTAAAAATGTCTGCCTGCTCCATATTAACAAGATCCTTTATAATTGTTTTAAGCAACTGTATTTGCTTAGAAAGTATATTATATTCGTTACTCAGTCTATTTCCATAGCGATGATATATTTTCTTCAATTCCCTTTGCCATCTATATTTAATCTTATAAAAATTTTTAATTTTGTCGGAATATAAAAATTTGCCGTTCTTAATTTCTACTTTCGTTGTATGTAGATCATGAGCAGACTTGAAACTTTCATTAAATTCTACTATAATTTGTTCAATTTCAGTGTTTTCCAAATTTCTGTTATTCGGTGGCATTAAAATATTAGAACTGATAGTTAAGTCCAGTTGAAAACGTTTCCAATCGGTGTTCTTGTAGGAAGTGTAGTAATGGGGGTTATTAAGTAATATATCCGAAGCATTCATATTAATTTCCAATTTCAATGGAAAATGATCCGAGAACGTCGGGAGGGATGAGATCCTGTAGTTGGGGGTGTCATTATTCATCAAGGAAGTGCTTATGAGGTAATGATCTAGAAATGAATTCGCGCTTGGAAATGACGGGTTGTTATGACAAATCCTTGTGATATCCAACGAATGGTCTTCAAGCCAGTTCTGTAAAATATTGCCGTTTTGGTTTCCAGTACTGTCACCCCATGCTTGATTTTTGGAGTTTAAATCGCCACCAAGAAGAAATAGGTCGAAACCATTTGCCACTAGAAGTATTTTGTCCAAACTATTGCGTAAATTATTAGCAGTAGTGTTGCATTTTACATATAGCGATCCAACCAGGATTTTCCTGGTTGTGTTGTTTATTTTCAATTGGAGTTCTAAAAATGTTCCCAGAATACTTAGGTCGTCGATACCAACTCTTTTGTATGAGATGTTATTTTTAAGTGCAATGGCTACTCCAATGGAGGAGTTATCATAGATAAAGTTGTAGTTATTCAAGAAGACTTTTTTTTGTCTACGGAGATGGCATTCTTGTAGAAAACAGATATCTATTTTGTTGCTGTTAAGGGTGTTAGTGAGATCTATTTGACGACTTCTCTCTAAGAGAGATCTGACGTTAAATGTTAAAAAATTGATGATTCTATGGCCCATGAACTTGTTGAACTTTTTTAAGAAGCCGCAGGAACTCCCCTTTGGCTTCTACTTTTGGCCTATTTTTGTACTCGTTCATGAAGTTATTGAGTTCTTGTTCTAGAGTTAGCTCTTCTGGCTCGAGAAAAAATTCAGCAAGTTTTAAAAATGTTTCAACAATTGACGGTTGAACAGGTTTATTGTCCGCAGATGGCTTATGAAAAAAGCTTGCAAATGATTTGGCTGGATTAACTGCTGATGAAATATATTTGTTGACGTTGCTGCTAGCAGCACTTTTAATTTCTTGAACCTCACGTAGGCGTTGTTTTTTTCTCGACACATAATTTTTGTAGAATGTGCAGCCTCGCCAATTTGCGGGGTGACCTTCTTCGCCGCAATTTACACATTTTGGGTTTGAGTTGTCGTTTTTATTCCGGTTACATTCACCAGGCAGATGATGTTGGTCGCATTTCACACATTTATAGTCTGAATTACAATTTTTTGCCATATGACCCCAATGTTGACATCGTCTACACTGTATTTCTCTATCCTTTTTCTTTGGCCTTTCCCAGACAACTGACTGGCTAAGTACGAATTTTACGTGCGATATGTCGCTCAAGTTCTTGCCGGGGTGCAAAGTTACAAGAAAAAGACCTGTGTCACAATTGTTTTTCATAGAGTATGGGGTTGTAAATTTTGTAACCTTTGAGATTACATCGGGAGTTATCCCATCCAGGTGTGATTTTAGTTCCTCGATGTCAGTGCCGTGATATAGGCCACGTAGAACTAACGAGATTTGCTTCAGTTCTCTAGGAGTGAATGAATAAGAATTTATCCTCTTCTCCTTAAGTACCGCCATCATTTCCGTATGGACAGTGGCGTCTGAAAGATAAAGTTTGCATTTATTCCTGTTAACATTCTTTATTTTAAAATTTATCTTGGGTGATTTCGCCTCCAGTTGGCTCACCAGATGTTGTACATTAATATTGTACAAAAATATAGGGGGGCAGAATTTGTTACCAGTTGGTGTCGTTGAAGTGGAATTAGTTGGCTTGTTAACAGTGCCGTAATTCCTTGGAGTGCCGGCGGAGTCATCATTACTC